ACAAACGAACACATAAACAGCGTCGTATCCTGTCTGCGTGACAGAAACTCCATTTAGCGGAACCGTGAGTGATCGATGCGTTGACCGTGTGTGTACGCGCCGCGACTGTCTTCTGCCTCGACAAGAAATAGGAATGCGTAGATTTCAAATCCATCTTCATTTTTCGATGACACATGCTTCTGTTATGATTTTCAAAAATGCTATTCCTTAAGGATAAATGCGAAGGCATAAACTTTATGCGTGGGAAGGATTTTTCGAATTCTGGCTATTACATACATTATTACATTTCTAACTAAATGGATTTTGTATTGATGGATTTTATATTTAATATATATTATAAAAAAATAAATATTAACATAATTAAAATGTTAATAAACATTTGCAATTTTATATCAAATATATATATAAAATAGAATATATATTAAAATGTTTCTTGTAATAATTTATATATTTAATTAGGATTTTTAGAATTTTCATTTAAATAATTAGGACTTTGCTTAAGGAAGCTGTTTATTATAAAATTGTTCTTGGGCACCCATCCAGTAATTAAAAACAGTTTAAATGAAAATGTTTTTATTCAGAAAACATACTTTTCGGATCTTGATTCAGTGCTACAATTAAATATTTCAGATAATTGTAAAATTATTAACTAAAATAACATGTTCGTTTGGAATACGCTTTTTTTATAATAAAATATATTATTTATTTTAATTTTACAATTATTTAAAATTTACATAACTCGACGATTTATCAATTTGTTGTATCATATTTTTTTGTGCAATTTCGTGTGATTTGTGTTTTTTTCAAATTTATTTGTGTGGTGAGTTTTTTTACATTTGTTTATTCTATGTTTGTTTTTCATATATACTTTTCGTATATACTTTCACAATATATATTTGTTTTAAAACAAATGTATTAAATTGGTTAGATTTATGTTTTTTTACATGTTTTTATTTATTTTTGTCTGTAATTATATATTTTTTATATTGTTTGAAATTGTAACCCTGAAATATTTAATTGTAGCACTGAAGATGGGTCAGATCAAGACCCGAAACGTATGTTTTCTGAATAAAAACATTTTCTTTCAATAAAACTGTTTTTAATTACTGGATGGATGCCCAAGAACAATTTTATCATATTATTTCACCATTTGAAGAAAAATCTCTCGCTTTCTATATATGTATATATATATATATATATATATATATATATATATATACTAAGAAGTTTTTGTGAAAACTAGAATTGTTTAAAATTAAGTAGATAATATTTGTAAGAATCAAAAATCCGTTTATGGTCGCCGTATAGATATAAAATATATGAATCATTGCTCCGATAATCCATGCGAATTCTTATTCTACCTGAAACTGTTCGCGCACCGTTTCTGAAATAACCTTTTATTTGTATTGTTTATCGCTTACTCATTGTTATCTTTGAAGCTATTACAATTTAGAAAACAGATATGAAGAATTTTATAATAGCTAGTACAATAATAATATAGCTTTTCTTGCTTCCTCAATAAATATTAACTTCCCAGAACTTAATCACAATTATGAAATAAAAAATAAAAATTGTAACGCAATATTTGTTTGATTAAATAATGATCGACCAACTGGTTGCTATATATAATAATCTCAAATAATATTCGAAGTACTATTTAATGTTGATGATCTACATTAGCAATAAAGTAGCAATAATTGAGTTTTTGTTAATGTAATTGAGTTTATAATAATTTCATTTATTACGAGTATGAAAATAACATGGTGAACCTGTAATGTATTTATAAAATTACGACAAATATAATATGCCCGATAAGAGAACCCACATAATTGTCCAATAAGCCTCTCGTGCACGTTTCTGAAAATGAATTCACACCGATATGCTGGCAGATCTTTCGTGTGTCCCTAATGTGCATCGAGGATTATTAATTACTAAACATAAAGTCGGACGAGAGGATAGAAGATTCATCCCTGCTGGGTCGCGCTGATTACTCGAACGTCGAACGTTACTCCGAAAACGCGTCCCTCAGCACCGGCGGTCGAACCGTACTCGAACTATATGCTCCGTCTATATCTCTTGTACTCTCGCACTCATGTCGCGAGAAGCGCACAACTCGCGGCGAAAGCGACTGCCTGCGACCCAAACCACTTTGCAGCCCCCCAACCCCAAGCCGCTAGCCGGCCGGCGCGCGTTTAAGTCCATCCGCGCTCTCGATGCCATGTGCTTGCGCCGGTTCTCAAAGTGTTCATTGAAATCATGATCATGAATTCATATTTCATATCCAAATATTTAAAATATAACAAATACACTTGTATTTCTAGTATAGAGTAAAGTCGATAGAGTCTCCATTTATTTATAAATATTCTGGACTATTACTTGTTGATATTTTACACTTCATATAATATTATTGAAGCTGTGATTTTTAAATCTTAGTACATGAAGCAAAGCAATAAATTTATAAGGAATAAATTTAAAAAACTAAAGATATATAATACTCCAATTGTATAGCTAATTTTTAACATTTGTTAATTTTTGGGCATTCGAGTGTCATATATTTTTATTGAATAATTTTCACATATATTTAAAGCAAAAATTATACAGCTATATATATATATATATATATATATATATATATATATATATATTAGGGTGGTCCTTAAAATGGTCATTTTCGAATTTCCTTGCTCCCAGGGGCTCAAATGGTTCCAAATAGATAAAAAACAATTTTCTGAAAGTTTTAGCTCTTAACCACTTAACGGTCGGGTTTTTTTTCGTGAAAAGTGATCTAAAAGAGCAGGTTTTTTTATTGTGGATTTTCAAAGTTTAATTAATGTAATATGTGTTTCTGATAACATTTTCTTTTTATTTATTTTATTTTTGTTTAAAATTAACAATATATATTATAATACTGATGACCGCTTTGATGGTTTTTGGACTACCTTTATGCTCTATGTAAAACTATTGTGTTATAATATGATAAATAATACGAAATTTTTATTTAATAACTTTTAAATTTTAATAATATCTATTATCTGAAAATAATATAACAAATTTATAAACAAATAAGAAAATTCAAGTAAATCAGTCATTCGGTAAAAATTCATGTACAATCACTAATAATCTCAAGGACAAAAAGTATTACTTATTTAATTATTTATATTATAATAATAAAAAATATTATCATATGATGGATTTCGAAACTTTTTCCACTGCCCGTTTTTTAGGCGGTTTTTACATGTTTATTTCTATTCTCAAAGTCGTTAAAGATTGATTTATTATATATACAATTATTAATTGATCTGTACTTATCATATCTAAACTAAACATATCTCAACAACGGGCCATTGTAAGCCTTTTATCGCATAAAACATAAACATTAACTTTGGCGAGCAGCGCTCGGGTTAGCCCGCTAGGATACGACAACTAGGCGCGAGCAGTGTTCGTGCGTACCCGTTAATTATTAATGTTTAGATAGAGCGCAATTCAATCAAAGTTTTGTATGGAAATAGCATGGAAAAATTTTCAAAAATTTTAAAAATGTTTTATAGATGTAATTTAGCGAACAAATGAATGAATAAAGCTCATTCATTTGTCGCTAAGTTATACCTAAAAATTTTTTTTTAAATTTTCAAAATTTTTCCATGCTCTTTCCATACGAAGTTTGATTGAATTGCGCATTATCAAACGTTAATATTAAGAGCTAAAACTTTCAAAAAATTGTTTTTTTATCAATTGGAACCATTTGAGCCCCTGGGAAGGAAATTTGAAATGATCATTTTAAGGACCACCCTAATATATATATATATATATATATATATATAAAATTTTAACGGCAATACATAAATAAAAATTGTAAAAGTTTATGAAATCTTTATTGAACTCCAAACCAAACGGTTTGATATATTATTCTATATCATCTTCAGTGGATTATTAGTGATAAAAGAAAGAGGGAGCAAGTTGCTCTAAAAACCAGTACAATACTAGTTACGCACATATTATTGGTACATTATAATTCAGTTCCGGTCATCTTAACATAAAAAATAAATGAATAAAACTAAAGTAATATATGAGTCACAATTTTCAGGAAAATACGTTAAATAAAAATGGAAGAAATTTAATTTTTTTTTAATTCTGTAGATTTCGTCAGAAATTTATTGCATTATTAAAAGATGCAAAATATATAAATTATAAAAATGCAAATAGTTATTGCATTTCATCTGTAGTGGAATTTAAATTGAAATGTTCTTAATTAACTAATGATAAAAAAAATATTTTACACTAACACTACTAGACTTTTTCTTGTCAGTTTAAATAAAAAAAAATTTTAGTTTTATTTTGCATTTCGAAATTCAATCTGAGGGGGCATCTATTAATCACGTGAGCTAGTTTTTAAGGATTTTTAGACCCCCCCTCCCCGTTGGTGATTTTTGGTGATATTCAAATTTACTACCCCTCCGCCACCAAACATCACGTGTATTTTTAGTTACGTGGGAAAACTGTATTTTTTTTTATTTTTTTTTAAATGTTTGAACTTTTTTATAAAAAATAGTAAAAAAAATAAATACCGTTATATTTTACTATGCTCCTTCCTCCCCAACGTGATATTTCGTGATTTTTTGTCAAACCCCCCTTCTCTCTAAAAACTCACGTGATTAATGGACGCCCCCTGATGATAATAATTTTTTAGTTAAATTAAAAAATTAAAGTCGGAAGTAATTAATACTGTTGTAGTTCAGATTATTTCACATTTCTTAATGCTTAGGCAAATGGGTGCAATACTCGTATATATTCACTGCAACTCCAAATTTGTGTTGAATTTATATGTAATGCGAGTCTAGGAAAGCCTGCTCCAACAGTTTGATGTTCGCAGAGTACCCACACAACTCACGCGAAACCTCCTAACATCAACGTACCGTGCGAACATCGCGGGGAAGGCTAGCCTGACAGCCACACGAAACTGGCGACCGTTCTCAGTCTAACGTGGTCCGCGATACCAGCTGGTTAGCAATAGCGACCGAGAAGGATCAATTTATCGAAAATCGCCGTCAGTGCAATACACACTGCGTTAAGTGTTATTAAATACTTGTCGTCGGGTAAACAGTTCAATTTGTACATCGCGTGAGTCACATAACATAACCGTAGTGCATTTTGCGAATTTTGTGTAAACGCTGTGTTAAAACTGCATCGTGACAGTGCTGTGTCGAAGTAGTGAGATAATTAGTTTTAAATATAATCATTGGTTCCACGGTTCGAGATTCTACAAATTTACTACATGCTTCCTGGAATTTGATATCGCTGTTTGAAGATAGGAAACACGTGAGTACCTGTTAAACTTAGTTATAAGTTTACTTAAGCGGAATCTTTGTACTATTCAAACATGTTGTATCATTCTTTTCGGCTACTTTGATTCATTGAAACTTACTTTATATAGAATATATGTGCTGTTATTTTTATTTTTCATTTCATTCATCATATAGACAAATACGATTTTCATTAATAGTTACGAGTTTCATTATTTAATTTATTTGATTAATATTTTCATACTGAATATTTTCTATATGCTTTTAACTGCGAGCAAATACAATAACATAAAAATCAGTAATGTAGCTTATAAACGACTACTAATCATATGTAGAAAACATAAGTGCATTGTTTATAAATATTGTGATAGATCGCACGCGACATGTGCATCGCCCACGCCGCAATACGACTACACATGATACCGCAAGATCGTTTTGTTTTATGTTATGAAGGTCGCTTATGAAAACAAAAAGCGGCTTCATAAAACTCTGTATATCTCGTGCTTTTGCGCGCTGCTGCATGATTTTATTGGTTCAAAAGCTATTACGTTTTCCATTCATTTATCCCGTTTGTGGAGCACGTTTCGTAGTATGCATTTTATCTTTGCTAGTAGTATGTGTATATAATATACATGTATTCGGCGTTTAACAGTGCGGGATGAATCCCCACTACGCGACAGACGTACTAACACACTTTCAGAAAATAGGTATACGTCATTATTATTACTCTCTTCATTTCATAACTTCGCTTGAATGTGTTGAACAAAAACAAAACCACGTGTTCGGCACGTAAAGAAATGCGACCGGCGTGAATTGCACACAGTTACGTTTAACGTAATTTTAAATCACTAATGAACTATCATAATATATAAAATAAACCAAATCTTATTATATATTATAATATATATATATATATAATAAGATTTAGATTTTTTTGCTCACATACAATAATTGGTAATGAACTATTTGCGAAAGATTAACGTCATTTCACAAACTTAATAGGTAGTGAAAAAAATATGATTCAACACATACTATATTGTGTGAATAACGTTTCATAAATTATTTCGGTATGCTTATATTATTTACAATTAATATTAATTATGTTTATTTAATTATTATCATTTCTTTTCTTACAGACAATGGCAACCAAAGGCAAAAGACCATTACGCAATTTAACCGCTTCCGACAAAATCGAAGCCATTCAGCGGATTCACGATGGTGAATCCAAGGCTTCAGTTGCTCGTGACATAGGCGTACCTGAATCAACTTTACGAGGTTGGTGCAAAAATGAAGATAAACTGCGATATATGTCGCGACAATCTACACCTGACGGAGTCGCCGCCGTGGGTGGAGATGATTCCGGTGATTCTTTGGGTATTTCATCGGCTGTTCCAGAGAAACGTACTAAGTACGATTATACGTCAGCTACTAAGCCTCCGAAATACGACTTTTCGGGTTCGCTAGGAGTAATAAAAAATGGTGTTAGCGCATCAGGACTAGATTTGAGCGGCGTTGATAAACGTATGGATACTGTAATGGACTCTGATTTGGGCGCTAGTAGCATGATGCCCTCGGGTGCGGATTTAGTGCGCTATGG